ATAATATTTGTTCAATAAATCCCGCTGGCTGACAGGATGGTCTTGAAAAGCATCTTTTCTTTCTTCTAGCTGACTGGACAGACTCCTCTATAACTAAAGGTCTTTCACCTGTTTCGTCTAAATCTGATCTTTCTTTTCTAGACTCTGGGAGACTTTGTGTATGATTTGGGCTTCCAAATCATCATCCTGAAAGTGGACGAGAGCCTGCTATCATGCTAATCCTGACATTAATGGGAGAAAAATTGGGCAGAAGACAGACTCTCTGCTCTTCTTGATACAGTTTTGGCTGAGATCGATGGCTACTTTTAAGATACAAAACACTATCCTTCAGACAGCAGGCACTGACACCGAAGGCGTTTACGATAAAGATGTGGTTTAAAGAGTTGATGATCCTCACCTCCCAGAATGCCAAGTGCTCTGGCAGATTTCTCCAAATTGTTCTGCTTGACTGGTTTGACTGCAGTTAGGCCTGTATTTGAATTACTAGCTGAGCACTACAAATATACCATACACTGCTACAGATGATGAGATACGGTTATTTTAGTTTGACTTGGGAACACATCCTAATCTTCCTGGTCAGCCCCTCTGAGCCTCAGCAGTATGTTAGGCAAAAAGAATGTGCTGAAAATTCTGAGAACATGTTTCTGTTCAAGGATTCAGGTGCGACTCAAAGGCAAGCTATTCAAAAGAAACTGGTCAGCAGAAGAAGGAACACACATTAGTAAGGCAAATATTTGCCAACAAAAGCTTAGTTTCTGGAGTCAAGTTTCCACTAAAATCTAAAAAAGTACATAAAAGCTAACCAACTAGTAGACAGTGGTTCTGAGAAACTCGTTCACTGCCCTTCATTTCCTCCCCCTGCTTATCTCAGAGACTGCACTTGTCTATTCTTGTAAAATCAAATAGTACCCACACCCAAAATCAGTCATTCTCTTCCAGGGGAAATAATAAACTAAACTCACCAAAAACTTGCAAGATTTTTGCAGACCTGCCAACTAGCTCATGAGTCTTAAGAGCTAGTATGCACGAGCATTAGAAATATTGCTGGTGGTCCCTCCCTGATGGCACAGCAGGTTGGAGCGCTGCCCTGCTAAGGTAAGCCAAACCATGGCTGCTTCAGCATGAGTTTGATCCCCACCCCAGAGCTGACCCACATGGCGCAGTAGACCTCTCCTGTCTTGCCGGCTGCTCCCCTCAGCAGTGTACTTTATAGATCTGCCTGTTTTCTGCTTCCTACTCTGTTGCTGGTGAATCCCCTTGCTGTCCCTGTACCTCTGGACTGTACCCCATTTTTGTATGCATAAAAAAATAAAATCTTAAAAAAAAAAAGAAATATTGTTGATCGAGTGTGACAGTTATTCCAGCCTTAAACAGACATCCTGGAATGTATTTTGTCATGAAATCCGAAAAGAAAGTGCCCATTGTTCTGTGGGGCTGATCTCCCCAAAATGGCCAGGAAGGCTTTTCTCAATGAGAGCAATAGAGGCCGGTGGATCTGGGGAGGTCTATATGTGCTTAAAGAAGGCGGATTGTTTTTGAGAAAGAGCAGTGAGGGCCTAGAAGGCTAGGAAAAGTTTCTGTCTTTGCCTGAGTCCTTCACCCCTGTCTAGTTGTAGAGGAGATACTTAGAAGAACGTAGCTTGGACGTCTCATCCAGTTATATGTTTGTCAGTAAACAGGTCCTCTCTTTCAAAGAACCCCATCTTTACTCACAATAAGGACAAAGTAATGCCCCCCACACCCTCATCTGTCATGTGACGTCTCCCCTCTCTTTCCTTGATGTCCAGATTCCTAAACACTGAATAAATACTCCTGGTATGCTCCATTAGAATTTATACCATGTAACTGTCCATCTTTGCTAACCTGTCTGATGCTGTTTTGATTACTCATCCCACATGAGAAGAACCCAGAGGGGTACAGGATGGCTTCTTTTGTGCCCTGACAGTTCCTGTTTCCATCTTTGGCAGCAGCATCTAAAGCATCTTGCCAGCACCTGCCGGCATAAACTTTCAGAGCTATACAAGTCAGGTTCAAATTGCCTGTTGGGAGCTGATATGCCAAGATGAATTTGGAGTCAACTAAAAATGCATTTTAGTGCAGTGGTGAGAGAAGAAGAAAGTTCCGATATTGTTCCCACCCCAGATTTCACGGTGGCATTTTCAGGGTTCTCAGTCATTGCTTTGTTGTCTGATAGACCATTTCCTTCTGGTTGACCAAATTCTTTTTTTTTTTTTTTAAGATTTATTTATGCATACAGAACTGGGGTACAGGCCAGAGGTGGAGGGGTGGTGAGAGGATTCACAAGAGATAGAGGAGGGAACAGAACAGGCAAACCGACAAAGTACACTGCTGAGGGGAGCAGTGAGTGCGACAGGAGAGATCTGCTGCACCATGTGGGTCACCTCCGGGGCCAGGGATCGAACTCGCACTAAAGAGACTGTGGCCAGCTTGCAGTGCTGTGCCCTAATCGGTTGCGCCACCAGGGAGGGCCCCAACTGATCAAATTCTTAACAGGCAGCACTTGGAGAGGTGCTGAGTTACTGCTGCTCAGAAAAGGTCAATTAAACAGATCACACCCAAGCCACAAGGGATATAGCTAACCTCTTCCTAGTCAATGGACAGAAATTCAAAGATAGAATTCAAAACAAGGGCAGCCTAAGGGAAGATCAGCCTTTACCACTGAGTTCTCAGGGCTCTCCCTGATCCAGTCACACTCAGTGTCGTATAAGAAGCTCCTTCGAGATGGAAAAGATGCAGTATATGTACACAATGGAATATTACTTAGTAGTCAAAAAGATAAGTCATACCATTTGCCGCAACTTGAGTGGAACTGGAAGGGTTTACCCTAAGTGAAGGAGAAAGAGAAAGAGAAATACTGGATGGTTTCATATGTGGAATCTAGAGAAACCAAACTAAGGATCAGACACAAACAGTAAGAGACCCTTGATACAGACAGTAGATTTGAGACACTCAGGAGAAAGGGGTGGGGGGAGGGAAAAGGGGACAGTAGAAAACTCGGGAAGGAGAGCATAGTGAGCTAAGGTGGAAAACTATGGTGACCACACCTGAGAGAACTCCTTATTGGAAAACAACAACCAAACCAAACCAAAACAAAACAAGGATGTTTAAACACTTTTTTAATAAAAAATTAAAAAAAAAAAAGTTCCCCTCATCTGTGTTTCAAGATGAAGTAGCAATAACAAGCTGACTCATCAGGAGATCATGCAAGTCAATATTAAAATAATGATGCAAAAGAATTCAAGATGTATATGCCCTGCTTTCTTGTGAAAGACACAGTGGGATTTCCAATGGACTACTCAGTAGCATTTCCCAGGAAAATCAAAGTGGATTTGGAAGAATGCTCTGAGAATACCAACAAGGCATCCAGTCATTTAACCAAATCTTGAAATGGAAGGGTTAATGATAGCCCAGATTCCACCATGCAAAATGGCCTCAAGGTAGATACCTAAAAGGGTGAGTAGAGAAAAGGGCAGAAAGAAAAGGGAGGTTAGGGGAAGAGAATGGGGCAAGTGGGGGTGAGAGGAGACCCGTATTAACCCTTCTGTGCCCATTCCAGAGCACCACCGGTGACCCCTCCATAGAAACCCTTTCTAAAGGCAGGTGCCCAGCCTTCATCAACCACATTCATGTTACCTGCAGGGAGAGGAGGGGCAGAGGTTTTTTGTTTGTTTGTTTGATCCTTAATTGCTACCTAAATTTGAAGAGGAAGACTGATATATCTCCTGCGTCATAAAGAATTCCAACACACACTTTGCTTTTCTGGTGAAGCTTCCGAGAGAGTCAGAGGGCTTTGAATCATTCCTGCTCTTTTGTTTCTTTCAGCTGAGGGCAGGTGCTAGGTTTGCACAAGGATGAAATCGGTGGAAATCTGAGACTAGAGGTCAAGTAGAGCTTGAAGGCAGCCAGCCCAAATAGTACCCAGTCCTAGCCTGGTGAATGAACCGGAAATATGAGGTGGCATGCATCAAGATCATCATTAAATTCCAGCACACTGATAAAATTTAGTCTTTATTTTAAAAAAGTAAATAGCTAAAAGCTGGTGAGTGAAAAATGGCCTTGGTGTGCACCCCTCAAGAACGGATGTCCCATCCTGGGGTGATCTGATCTTTGGGTATCTGGAACTTCAAATGCCTTGTAATTTACTATTTAAAAAGCATTAGAATCTAAAGCTGTCTGTTCTATAAATAAAAGTTGGTGATTTGGAGAGAGGAGAGGGAGATGGAGGGAGCAAAGGGTTGAAGACCAACCCAGTCCTGTGACCAAGGTGGGGGGTGAATTTAAGGCTCACAAAATGCTTTGGATCTGACAGATATTCCGTGTAGGGCAAATAACGTCCTCCCCACCCGCAGCTTCTTATTCAGGGATAAGCAGTTTTCTACACGAGACGTGAATTTTTCAGAAAAAATTATCTATCAAAAGAGACCTGAAGACCCTCAAAAGGTAACCATTCCCTCCTCTATTAAGTCAGAACCAGAATACGAATTTAGGCAGAGGACAAACATGGGTTAATGGAGAGGACATCTATTTGAGTAGTTCGGTTTTAGGGGAATGAGCAAAATTTTAAAGAGAGGGAAACCATCTTTGCAAAAATTAAAGACTGCAGAAAAATCTTAGCGCAAACTGACATTAAAAGCTTTACTTCGGAAGTTCTGAGCCTACTTTGTGGAATCGCAGAGGGTCCAGGCGCCCGGAGGCCCTCGCCAGCCCGCGGGGGGACCCACGTCCAGGCTCAGCCCTCCCGCAGCACCCCTGACAGCGCCTGCAGCCGCGGGGCTCCGCC